TAGTCTTTGCTATGTATTATTTAATAACATTCGTTATATTCATATTACCACCTATTACTATGGCCTGTGACCTGGCAGGGTTTTTAATGGCTGGCTCTGCTTCTATTATGTGGAAACACCAAGCAAGGCTGCATCTCTCTCATCCTGGCCTGGGGGTGCCATCTTGGAAGTATTTACCCCCTGTGGAATTTCACACGAGCTACACTGTTTTAGTGTTTATCTAGACTTAAAGTGATGGGTCAAATATTTGTGATGCAGATTGTGTGCCCTTTCTGCATCCAATACATGTGAATAGCGTGCACACACACACACACATATACACACACACAGAAAATTAGACAACATTCTTCTAGTGCTCAGAAACATACGCTGGATTAAACGCTCCAACTGGATTCCACAAAGGCACTCCAGCCATTGGCAGAGGCGTGAAGTTCTAAGTGATCTTTTTATGGTTTTACTTCATCTCACTTGTTTGTGGAAGTGAACATGTGAACTCCTTTGGTTGGGAACTATATCCATGGCTCAGTCATACCTGCCTTTAAGCAGGAATGGTTGTGAATAGCCCTAAAGACAAGCACAAGGAGTTTAGTTCTTGCATATAGCTTCCATGCGAGGGTGGGTTTTGCCCATTGCTGTATCCTCAGCCTCTTGGAGATGCTCAGTACTTCCTGTCATCTGGAGGAAGGAGGTTCTGGAGGCAAGGCCTCATGGGTGAGTGGAGAGGGCCAGAATTTCTTGCTTTATCCAATTTTTGCTAAGCAATGTGATTTGTGTCTCCTTCCCTGCCCCTCCCCCCAAACCATTTGCAGTTGGACCTCTGACCCCACAGATGCAGGTGGCTGTGTATCATTAGCACAGGCACCGAGGACGCAAAGTGATGGTGGTGTCACCCTCAGATTAGAACACTGGAAAGGGTATCCTTGAGGGTGGGTACTTGCCCTTGGAGCTTACTTGGCTACCCACGTCCTGGCCCTGTAGCCAGGTCTCTGTCAAGAACTCTGGATCCCATAGCACAGGGGGCAATTCCAGCAGTATTGTCTGCTTCTTCCTGAGTACCACAGGCAAGAGAATTCTGTGCCAAGGCCTGGTTTTCATGCTACCTAGCTCAGAGACAACCTCTAGGGGCTGAGTTGGGGCATTTGAATGCAGTCAGGCAGAGCAGAGCAATAGAAGAAAGGTACTAGCTGCATGCCGGTGGTTCACACCTGTAATCCTAGCTACTTGGGAGGCTTGAGATCTGAAGATTGTGATTCTGAGAGACTTTTATCCCCAATTAACCACCAGAAAACTGGAAGTGGTGCTGTGGTTCAAAGTGGTAGATTGCTAGCCTTAAGTGAAAAAAGCTCAGGAAAGCACCCAAGTCCCTGAGTTCAAGTCTTACAACCACCACTGCCACCACCACCATCACCACCACCACCAGACAACAAAAAGAAACATGCTTCTCATGTCTAAGAGCCTCTGTGTCTATCTCAGCATTGTGAACTGAAGCTCGGGTGTTGGCAATTATTACAACTGGACTTGTAGGACCCTTCAATGAGCCAAGAAAGCACCATGCTAGACTCGCATATCCATTGTCTTGTTCATTGACCAGGACTGATTCTCTCCCCCAGGTTACATCTAGTCTTCTCAAAGAGGAAGTAGATTCTTAAGAGGTGGTGGTATGGGGGGGTGGTTTGGAAGGGCAAGGATTCAGTCATTCTTCTAAGGATCAACTGGGAAATGGGAAAACCAGGATGTGAATGAAATCTTTCCCAATCTGATGTCCGGCCTTTCTAAATTAGGACTTGTTTATCAACCGATTAAAACAAATACAGAAATCTCCACTCAGGCTACCCACATTGAAGACATTGGGTTTCCCTGACCTTGCTTACAAGGTCAACACCATTAGCACAGACAGGTCTCCATTGGTTTTGCAGACCACATTCTCTCATGGAATGGAAAGAAATCCCAGTTGGACCAGCATTGCTTTTTTTCTTTTTTTTTTCCTTTCAATTTTTATTGAACACAAGTATTCTGACAGAATGCAAAGTCAAAATTCTCAGTTAGTACTCAGTATTTACACCGGTGAGAATGGAAACAAAGGTGTTGTGGATGTTTTCACTTGGTAAAAAGGTTTTATAACAAGAGAGAAGGCCCCCGAAAGTACAGAATGCTGGGTAAGGGTCTTTGTTCATGGAGGTCTAAAAAAAAAAACCCACCAACCAGACAGACAGCCTAGGGTGAAACCCTGGGATGTGGGAGGTTCCATAGAAAAGCGTGAAGACAGAACTCCACTGGGAAAGCTGTAACTATATATACACCATGGGCCCTTCAGACTGGGAAACTCTGCTCATGGCACCCTAGTGGCCCTCCTGGAGAACTTGGCCTTGCCATTCTTTATGTGAATACATATGCATAACACACACACATACACACACACACACACACACACACACAACATCGAAACAAATGGAGTTGATCCCTCCTTTAAAAGCAAAAAGAAAGAAAGAAAGAAAACAAAAGGGAAACAAGAAGCTTGTATCTCTTAACATAAAAGATAGAACATCTCAAAAATGACGTGATTCCCTCTGATTTTAAGAGGAAGCATTGCGCTTTAAAAAAATAAAAGCTCATGCATGCCGAGGCAAACATAATATGTAACACAGGAGAGGCAGACCAAAGGGTGGGTGGGCAGTTTGGAGTCCTAGCCAGAGTTCTAGGACTTGTCTGCCCTGGGCCAGGCTATCTATGGGCTAACTATACCTCTTGTCTTTTAACCATCAGAACCCCCAATTCCTTTGCCTACACACAACCAACCAGTCGGAGGGAAACCATCTCCAGAAGGCATCGCATGGCCTTTGGCCTGGTTGGTCAGGCCACTGATATCACAAGGTGAGAAAGCGATTCCCCTGGTCAGCCTGGTGACCGGAAGAACCCCTCCATCATCACCACTAGGCCCTCCCTGCCTCAGGTGCCCACCTCTCCCGTTCTGCTCGGTGCTCGGAGAGGTCTTCACCTTCCTTTTTCCTGTGCATTTGAACGACTGATCCATGCAGACCCTAGAGTCACAGGGCTGTGTGTTCTGGAATCCTCCATTTCCATCCCCAGGAGCTGAGAAAAATGCAACATAACCCCACATTTAGCAAATGACAAGACCATTATTTTTCACAGTTTGAAATTATCATCTAGAATCGCCACGGATCAGAGTGCAGACATGTCGGGACATGGGGGAGGGGGCGTGGAGGCCGACTTGCCACCCTAGCCTCTTGCTGCGTGGTACCTTAGGAAAGGAACGAGAGCCCGAGGACCAACTTCGGTTGACTTCGCGTCCTCTTCTTCTTCGTCTTCTTTATTATCACCATCATTGTGGTCATCATCTCAATCCGTTTTTCACTTCCTCTGTCTTAAAGGCTTCAATTCCTTTTTAAGATTTATACTTTGTTTCCTGAATATGTGTTTTTTTTTTTTCTGAACTATCTGCTATACCTTTCCACAACCAAACTATGTTGAAAGTTTTATTTCAATACTATGACAAAAAACACGTTTCACACTAAAGTTCACGCATCCACAGTGCACAACAAGCTTGCAGTTCTAAAGTAGAATGAAAAACAAAAAAGCAAAATTTCTATACAAAGGGCTGGCTTTTCCCTCCTCCCCCCTCCCATCCCTCTTGAAGTTTCTGTATTTTTTTCCCCTCTTCACTTGATTTTCAATCCAGGAAAGTTGTGTTATGACTCCAGATAGTATTTTTTTTGTTTCCTTTTTCTGTTTGTTTGTTTTTAAACAAATGCTGCTTAAGTGAACAGAAGGCCAATGTTACTTCACTTCAACAGATTTCCAAAAAAAGACACTAATTCCCTGAAGTGTACATGCTCTTCTGCTCAAATCTAGATTCTGGGCTCAAAAGAAAATGGTATGTATATATTTTATTTGGCTTTCTACAAAAAAAAAAAAAAAAAGAGGGGGATGTTTGGGGTCAAAATGTGTGATCACCAAATACCAGCCCCAACTATACAATCTTTTCTGCTTCATTCAACAAAGCATTTGCGTGCCCATGAGTCAGTTCCTTCGTCCTAGACACAGGCAGGCGGCAGCTAATCAGAAAGTGGTCTAACCCCTGAAGGATCACCAAAAAGAACCAAAAGTCCAAAGGCAAAACAATGTCAGAATGAGATGGATTTCTACCTGAGTTGGACACAGGCAAAAACTGCAAATGAGGACAGGGAGGAAGAGCCGCCCAAATCAAAGTTGGCCCATGTTCATGAAATAAGGCTGCCTCTAGGCGATATTTGTTACTTAAAAAAAAAAAAAGGCAGTATTTTTTTTTACATGGACATTGAAACAGAGAACTGAAGTCAAACACATGTCAACTTGTAAACACTGGAAACAAAGTTGTCAGAAAGGAAAGAAGAGGGGGTGAAAAAAGGAAAGAAAAAGTAGCCAATGAAATCGGAATCCTGAAAATGGAGAACCCTTCCCCTCCCCGAGAATTTGCAATTTGGCATAATTATGAAATAATAAGCATCTACGTGGGAAATGAATTCAGCTAGAAAGGGTGACACACTTTGCATAAGGGAGAAATACAATGTGAACAGAAATGATAACTTATTTATGAGGTTTGACAGACGTCCAACTCGACTGAAAGTATAAAAATAAAGCGTGGACTTTGTTCATCCAGTTAGTCTTAGTGACTGGAAGTTTGTTTTGTTTTACTTTATTTTTTTCCTTTCTGAAAACTGGTCTGTGCCAATTAGGTTACACCAAGTATGGTCTTCCTGAACCTAGACATTTTTTTTTCTGAGCTTCCTAGATTCTTAATTTGGGGTCCTTTTGTTTGATTTTTAAATGGTTTCAGGGAACAGAGTGTCCTAGTTTGGGTTTAACCTTTTGTCTCATGTTCTTGCAACAAAGGAGCCCTTTCTATAAACCTACAAAAAGGAGGTCCTATGTTTATCTGTTTAGTTTTCTTTTCTTTTCTTTTTTAAAGGCAAAAGACACTAGAGGAATGAGATTTTGTGTGTGTTTGTGTGTGTGTGTGCGCGCATGTGCACACGCATGTGTGTGTGTGTGTGTGTATGTGTGTGAGACATTGGGAAACGCTCTGGTGAAGCCGCTGTGTCACTTTTCCTGGCACCAATCACGCTTTGCTTTCATTTTCCTTTGTTTGTGTGGTGTCATTGGGGACCGTCTTGGCTTCGGCTGGCGCTGGCTTCGCTTCTGACTCCTGGCTTTCCGACTTTGCTTCTACTGGGCCCTTCCTGCAGAGAATCGACAAACAGCACCACTGAGACACAATTGCTGCACTGCTGCACACATCTCCCCCATCACCCCACTTTTTGCTATACCCTGGGGAAGGGGTGGGGAGCTTCCGTGATTTTGGCTCCTAACCTTGGAGGTATACTGGCAGTCACCTGGGAGCTGTATCCTGAGCCAATTCCCCAGTTAACTCCAGGCACAATGACTTGTAAAAAGACCTAAGTGTGCAGCCTTCAATTGCAGTCTTTCATAAAACTTGAGGCAGGGCAAGGGGTGGAAAAGGAATCCCTTTTCTCACCTGGACAAACTGTGTGTCAGCAGCTCAGCTTGCAATGTCCCATTATTAACCACCTCTTTCCTGCTGGCCCATTCCCTCCTTACCCCTGACTCTAACACCCCCCCTCCCCATCCCCATCCCTTGGCCTCCATGCTGTAGCCTCTACATAGTCCAAGTGAGAAAATAGCAAAGGGGGAAGAGAGGCTGGAGAGGGCTGCTTGTTGGGGGGTGGGGGATGGGGAGGGCAGTCCTTTAACTTCCTGACACCCAGATGAGGGCTCTGGGCTACAGCCTGCTGGCATCACACCAGCTATGTGGAGACAGCCCTGGGAACCTCCACAGAAAACCCAGGCCTGCCTCTGTCACCAGCCATGGATCCCAGAAGCCAGAGACCCAAGGCTGCTGGGAACCGGCACAGACCTCAGCCTTCAGTGCCATGGTGTGAGGCACCACATGATGAGAAACCGGAAATCGTGAGGACCTGGGACTTAAAGAGACCCAGCAGACAGTCATGGGGCTTGAACTAGAGACCTAGGCGCTGTCCCTGAGCAATGTTTGCTCAAGGCTAGCCCTTTAACCCTTTCAGCCACAGTACCACTTCTGTTTCTTGAGTGGTTAACTGGAGATAAGAGTCTCACGGACTTTCCTGCGTGGGCTGGCTTTAAACCGTGAGCCTCAGATCTCAGCCTCCTGAGTAGCTAGGATTACAGGGTGAGCCACCCGTGCCTGGCTCATTCTTTTTTGACCGATCTTCCCAGATACTCTAAAGGCCAACAGAAGTCAACTGTGGCTACCTCCCCTGGGTGGGGAGGCGGGGGGCAGAGCTGTGTCTTTTCTTCCTGCTCTATGGTGCCTCTCTTGGGGGAACACTCAGCCCTGTCCCTGAATGTCCCTGTCCCCCACATCACTGTGGGCCCAGGTGGCAGACACAGGCACCGTGGCCTCCTTTAGCTCTTTCCCCAGGGGTCTGACTGCAAGGCAACCTCCAAGGAGAACAGAAGTGCAGCCAGGATGAGGAGATAAAACGTAATTAACGTGGCCTAATTAGCGAGCAGGCGGTTGGTGGCTCCTCTCCTGGTTCACCAGGACCCTGCTGCTGGCTGTCCCTTCTTCTACCTCAGCCCAGCCCTCTGGTTGACAGTCACTCAGAGAAGCCCCCGGGGGAGGCCGAGGACACATCTAACAAGGAGAACACAGCACACGCAGCACACACGCACACAGGACACAACCCGATGACAGCAGACAGAGAGAGGTCGTACTCGATCTTGGCTGGTGCCGGTGGAACCGAGCTCTCGGCAGTGGAAGATACAAGCTCAGGGGCTTGTCCACTGGCCCCAGCGGCGGGAGCAGGAGAGCCCAGGGCTGCAAAAACATCCTTTGCAAGGTCAATATCTGGGGTCTTGAAGTTCCCTTCGTCCATTTTTAAGTCCTCGCCCTGGGAAGGGTTTGTGGCGGTGACGGAGGCAGCCTCGCTCTTCGGGCTAGCGGAGGCTGGGGAGGCCTTGGGTGGGTTCTTCGCGGTGTTGGGCTGGGTGGGCTCTGGGTCCGGGCCTTTGGTGCTGGGGGTCTCCTGCTTGGCCTGGGGGGCTTCTGTGGCCGGGGCAGATGCTACGGGACTGGCTGTCCCGGTTGGGGCGGAGGTTGGGGGAGGGCTGGGCTTGCTGGTGGGGGGGGTCTTGGGGGCCTCCCCGACACTGGGCGGGGCGCTCGGGCTGAGGACGGCTCCTTGATTGGCCAGGACACTAGAGGACAAATTGCTAGCGGCCGGGGCTGAGGTGGGGGTATCGCTTAGGTCAACGAGGGGGGCGATCTTGGGGGCTGAGGCTGGGGGAGGGGAGGAGGCAGCAACCCCAGACCCCTTGGAAGGGGTGGCCTGGCCAGCGGGCACAGAATTGGAGTCCAGCGTGGCAGTGGCCGGAGGGGCAATACTGGAAGTGAGGGTGGTGGTCTCACTGGTGGGGCTGTTCTGAGCAGTGGCAAAGGTTTCGGTGATAGTATCAGAGTTAGTGGTGACGGTGGTGACAGAAGGCAGCATGTCCTCGACAGTGGCTGTGGTGTCGGCAGGCAGCCTGTGGGGAGGACAGGAAGTAGAAGAGAAGACACGATGAAGCAGAGACATGACAGAGAGAGAGAGAGAGCCGGGCAGGAGGGCCGGAGAGAAGGAGAGGCGGGGAACGGTGGGTGGGTCATGCGTTCACGTACAGGCAGGAACACAGGGCCACAGAGAAAACAAGCACGCCAAGAGAAGGTACACGCCCAGGCGGGCAGAAGAGGATACAGGAGACGACAAAGAACGCGGCAGTCTCAAAGGGGCTCTGCCTAAAGCTTTCTTCCCTGCCGACGGACCCCCAGCTCTCTGTACAGTGCTCCCACCACCCCCTGCACACACAGGTCCTCAGCTCTCGGATGCCCGCCCCAGGATCTCCACGCCAAGAAGAGGCAGGGCAAGATTTCCTGGGCCCCAGAAGAACTGACCCCTGGCAACTCCCCTGCAGGGCTCCGCAGGGCAAGGATGAGGAACAGAAAGCAGATAACACGTGATCCCATGGCTCCCGAGAGCTATGCATTCTTCCAGACACAGCTCTATTCCTAGCAGCTCCCCACGATCCTCTCCCACCAAGCCAGGCAGGACAAACACAGCTGGTCGGAGTCTCTGAGGACACCCCTCCCAGGAGGCTTCTGATTAGCAGAGGGGCCAGGGAACTCTACCAGGTCTCCTCACCACTCTGATTCTTTTAGGAGGAAAATTGCACAGGACTATGTTTGTAAGTGACCCTCAACAGGATTGGCCAAGCCCCTCTCCATGAGGCCATCTCTAGAATAGGTATGTAACTTGAGATTCCCCCTTGGTACATAATAGAGCCAAGAATGCCTTCCCTTGAAGCACAGTGGGTTCAAGCGCTGCCCGGCCAAGTAGGTCTTCTGGCCCACTGGCTTCAGAATCCAGGCCTGCCGTGTTTGGCCGGAAGCCGAGGGTAGGAAGCAGGGAAGGCATGGGTAGGGTGATGAGGTGGGGGTGTGGGGTTCTACTGAACAGGTGCCAAGTCCTCCCTTCCGCCCTCCCTCCCCCCACCACATACTCAGGCTCTGTCAGTGGCGTGGTCTCATTGGGCTCTGTGTGCTTCCCCCCGTCGTGGTTTGGGGTCCGCTCCTCTTCCGTTCGAACTTCCACGATGGGCTCCTTGGATTCATCTTTCCTGTGGGGAGTTCTGCTGGTTAGATCCCCACGCAATCCGGCAGTGGGCGGGGCAACAGCTACCGCTCAGGTAGGTACCTAGGTCTCGGGTGAGGCTGGCTGGGCCTCGGAGTCAGGGAGGAGTGTATAAGCCTCACAGCCCGACTTTCAAGAGCTGCGTCACCTTGAGCATCTAATGGAATCAGCCCTGCCTTCGTGTCTTCACCCAAAAAACAGTGGCAAGCATGAGGATGCATTTCACCTGGTCTGAGTTAAATGAGCCAATGCATACCAAGCGCGTAGCATGTTACGGCAGTGAGAGAGGAAGTGCTCAAAAGCACACACACGCATATACATGTACGCTGTGAAGTATGTATAGGGAGGGTCGTGTGCATGTGTGCATGTAGAGATAGATCGCAGGCATGTGCCATGCGAGAAACCCATCGCCCCCTTCTGTCCCTTCTCAGCAGCAGCTGAGCTCCCCGCTCCCCCTCCCCAGCACCGAGGGCCCTCAAAGCGCCTACAATCTGCTCAGGATCCATTTCCTCAGAAATGCTGCTGGAGGAAACAGCCTCGGGACCATTGGCTCACCCCAGGACGTGGCTTTTTATCTACTTGGCTCCCTAGAGCCTGGGAACGCTGCCTTGCACTCTGGAGCTACAGGAGAAATGTTTTGCTGGGTGATGAGTGAATGCATGAAAGCCAGGTGGGTATGCGCCCCTTAAAATGCTGGCCACCCACTTCCATCTGGGCTCTTCTTCAGCCTCAGCTCTGATGAGTCTCTTACTCAGGTGACCTTCCTGGGGATCTCCAAACTTCTGACAAGTGACCCCACCACCACGCTTACAGACTTCCCATAATCTTTGCCTCTCAGGGTTTCAACCTGGGGAAGTAGAGCTAAAGGCGAGGTCAGCGTGGTTCTGAAGGGCAGCTCTGAGGTGTGACACACCGCTGGGTCCTGGCTAGGGGCAGGGCCCGGTGTGAGGGTGAGGGAGGGCTGTACTCACGAGAAGGCGGCCTTGCCCTCCTCCATGTCCTTGCCCTTGGCCCCAGGTCCGGCCTTTCCGCACAGGTTGACGGCAATGCACATGAGCAGGCCACACTTGTTCAGGAAGTAGCAGGTAATGTCCACCACGACCAGGAGCAGGACAAAGATGACGATGAGGATGCCCACGATGGCCCCGGTGCTCAGGCCTGAGGTGGGGCTGCCGTTGGCTTAAGAGGGGGAAAGAGATGGCTGGTGGTTAACAGACTGAGAGAAGAGTTTTCTGACCCTGTAATCTACTGCCCTTGGGGTTAGGGAGGGCCTAGAGCTTAAAGCCATGGCACGCATGCTCAGTGGCACCTTCTCGCTGGCCTCTGCATGCCTGCTGTGGAGACAACAGCATCTCTACCTCTTCCAGAGGGGAGAAATGGCTGCCTCGGTTCACCTAGGAGACAGCAGTATGTGAAGATGTAAGTTGGGATTTGGGAGTCATGTCTCCAATCCCCCCCTCAGCCTTCCTGAGTTCTGGGAGCAGGCTGAGCGTAGCCACACAACATCCGGGGATATTGGATGCGGACAAGGTGGTTGGGCACTGTGATATGCGTCTGGTACCTGAGCAAAAGGCTTTACTTTCAGGACAGGCAGGTAATGGTGGCCGGTTTCAGGCTGTGAGGGGAGGGACAGGGTCCCTAATGGCTGCAAATGGTATTTCCAGGGTTGCCTGGAGCTAGCAAGGATGTCAGGGCCAATGGGATGGGTGCCTTAGTCTCCTCTTCCCCTTTTGCAAGTAACTCTAGCGAACCCCCCGCCCCCGCCCCGCTCCAGGGCTCACAGCTCATCCCCGCTCTGCCACCGCCCAGCAAGCTGAATGAAGTCACATGACTCCAGAGATGTGGCGTCTCCCCAGGCCTGATGGGTAAGGTGAAAGATGTCTGGGAATACTCACCGTCTAGGAGCTAGGCAAGCTTGCATCAGACTTCAGGGAAACCAGCGGACCCACATGATGCTACACACTCACACACAGCCATTCCCACACACGCACCCTGGCGGACACATTCCCAGCAGTATCCGGCTGCCAGTCTGGTGGGACTCACTCTGAACGACTCAGCTTCTGTGTCTAGCTCCCTGGTGTTCACCTACAGTCCCGAATGCTATCACAGAAGGACCCAGGCTCGGCTCCCTGCATGGCTGTGATTGACATCAGTTGGCCAAGATGCACCCGCTGACCCTTGGTGACTGCCAGCAGTGTCTGAGAGGCAAGGTAAGGCAAGGGGCGATGGTGTGGGATACACGATCCCATGCAGAACTCTGCCTATATGTCAGCATGGAAGCAATGAGCCCCATCTAAAATATAGGCACTGCTGGTTAGTTTTTCTTCTGGAAAGACTTGAGTCCACAATTGCAAGAAGGCAGGAAGGAAGGAAGCAAGCAAGCAACAAGGAAGGAAGGGAGGAAGCAAGCAAGCAAGCAAGCTTCCTGTACTCTCGGGGTCTCCTGAGGTTACCCAAGATCTCAGGAATTGAGTAAAGAACTATGGGCAATACAACCTGGGGCTTGGTCCCATCTGACCCCAAACTCAGCTTCCTATGCTTGGTGGGCTGGGCCCAGCATCCCGCCATTCATGCATCACACAGATAATGGGAGCGCTGTGTGACCCATAGTAGCCAGCACTATAGATGGGGCATATAATCAGCACTATAGCCACTATGTTTGCCCTCCCTCCCTCCCTCCCTTCCTTCCTCCCTCTCTCCTTCTCTTGCTGAGAATTGAGCACTTTCAAGGAAGGTGCTCTACCACTGAGCTCCACCTGCAGCCCCTTTCTCTCCCCCTTTCTACATGGGCCAGCCAGCCTGGGCTGCAGTCTTCCTACTTGTGCTTCACTGGAGGTGAAAGATGCACATCACTGGGCCCAGCCAGTGTGCTTCCCTGAAGGTAAGATAGCAGGCAGGCAGCCAGCCAGCGATGACTGAGATGGACTCTCTTGGACTCTTATGCTGGCTGGCCTCAACACAAGATTCCTCCATCTCTGCCTCTTGAATAGCTAGGATCACAGACTTGAGTCACCATGCCTAGGTTCGTTCACTCCTTCCTTCTTTTCCCTCCCTCCCCCCATTTCTTCTTTCCTTCTTCCCTCCCTCCCTCCCTTCCTTCCTTTTAAAGTCTTACTATATGTAGCCCCAGACTGGCCTTGAACTCATGGTCTTCTTGCTTCAACCTCCCAAATGCTGGGATTACATGTATGTACTGCCAAACCCCACCACTGTTATTTTCGCATACAGCCTGTGCTCCTGGGGGAAGATGCTCTGCCTGTTCCAGGGATCCTTGTGCAACCACTGAACAACTTTCCCAGTGGCTGTGACTCTTGGCTGGTCCACTTCAAACCCCAGTTCTGGTTATGAGCTACTGGCCTATAAATTACACAGGACCACTCGCAACCTACTACTCTGGCTGCCATGGGGCCTGAGTTGGAGCACATCAATGGTTTAAGTCTCTTTGGGACCTTGGATTGCTTCTCAGAGTTTTCCTCCTCAGGCTCCCTAGTGGGTCCTATTCAACTCTGTATGGAGGACCTCACCCTGTGCCCTCAGGCAGGCTCACAACTAGCAGAGGACTCTGGCTACCTCCTCTCTGGGTATAACCAGAAGGTCAGCTGCTCACTTCAGCTGTCAGCTAGAGTGGGTCATTCTCCTCAGCAGCCTGCTAATGCAGAGGTGCTTCTGGCTGGTTATATGAGAAGGAAGCGCCAATCTGCTTCCCCATGGCCCTCACCCCTTTCTAGACCCTTAGGAGAAGCCAGAGTGGCTTTCTTGAATGAATTGGGCATCTTAGCCTTGTATTTTCCATCCTAGTGGCTTAAAATCACGACAGTGTCCAGACATTAGTAAACTGGTTGGTGTCTGTTTGTACTTTCTGGAGGAGTTGAAAGTGGTTTTGAGTGTGAGTGTGTATATGTGAATGTGTGTGTGTGTGTGTGTGTGTGTGTGTGTGTACACCTGTGCATTTGCACTCAATGGCACTAGGTCTGAGACTTTTACATAGACTCTTCTATGGCCGAGCCTGTGTCTGTTCTTAAAAAGGAGAAGTAAGCCAGGCACTGGTGGCTCACTCCTGTAATCCTAGCTACTCAGGAGGCTGAGATATAAGAATTGCAGTTTGAGTTCAGTCTGGGCAGAAAAGTCCCTGTAAGACTTTATCTCTAACTGACCACTCAAAAACTGGAAATGGTGTTGTAGCTCAAAGTGGAAGAGCACTAGCCTTGAGCAAAAGAGCTCAGGGTCAGTGCTTAGAACCTGAGTTCAAGCCCCACCAACTGACAAAAATTAAAAAAAAAAAAAAAAACAAAATAAAGGGGGCTGGTAGCTCACATCTGTCATCCTAGCTACTCAGGAGGCTGAGATCTGAGGATTCCCCGTTCAGAGCCAGCCCAGGCAGGAAAGTCTGTGGGATTCTTATTTGCAATAAACCACCAGAAAACTGGAAGTGGCACTGTGGCTCAAGTGGTAGGGCACTCGCCTTGAGCTGAAGAGCTGAGGGACAGTGCCCAGGCCCAGAGTTCAAACCCCACGACTGACAAAAAATAAATAAATGAATAAATAAAAAAAGAGAAGTGAAGCCCTGAGAGCTGGTGGATGTGTGAGGACACAGCGCTGGCTGAGTTTCCGCTCTGGGCTCAGCAGATGTAGTTGGGAGGCTGCCCTGGTTCTGGGCGCACTGGAGAGGAGGAGCATGAGGGTGAAAGACTGTATGTGCAGTGACACCAATGAAGTGTACAGCAGTGGTCTCTCCTTCCATTTGATATACAGTCCACAGAACATTCGCCCTTGGCTGAATGTTCTGAGGCTTCTGCCCAGCCCTCTAATTGAATTCAAGGTTACTACCACCAATCAGGAGTTCCAAACCTTCTGTGTTTCGCCTTCTGAGCATACCAGCCAATCCCGTCCCAGGGCTGATTGACTGACTGGAAAACTTCCTTCCTAATGAGATCCCCATCAGAGGCCCTCGGGCCTCAGACTTCATACTGCCTTGGAGTAGTCTCCCCCATCTCTTTTATTCTCTTTTTCATTACCACCTACTTCTAATCATGTCTAGCCTTTCCCTCTAGGCCACCCTAGCAGGTGTCCTGTCTCATTTCTCCAGCATTCAAGATAACCTGTTCACAGAATATCTGTTGTACAACTGAATATTGTGTTAAGCCTGCTTCTAAATATTTACAGGTGTGTCATAAGGAAGTAAACATAGCTTTGTCCCACTCAGTAGATGCTAATTATGGGGATGAGGGGAGATTGCAACTTCACACGAGAAAGGGCGAACCACCTGCTAGTCAAAACAGAGCCGTGGTGGATGAGCTCCCTGATGGAGGCATTCAAGCAAAGGTGAGACAACCCTGGGTAGAGATGTTGTAATGTTTGGGATCCCAGTGTGGTACCCAGCAGGGCATTCTGTATAGGATGTCTGCAAGTCTTCTTCAACCACAAGTACCCGCTATTCCAAGTCTGTAACTGTGCACATGGAACAGATTCCCTAAGCCACTCTCTCTAGTATACACTGAGAAAGAGTTTTTTTCCTGGAGGACAGAAACACTTGGTCTAGTCCATCTTTAATCTCTAATTCTTGTGATTTTTATTTTTGCTTTAAAAACCCAATGCCTTGACTCACTCTGGTGGAGTTCTTGGGGGTACTCAGATTCTGGGGCTCCCTATTTCTCTGGAATTATAATCCTTGGGATGAGGCTCAGGAATCAAGGATGGAACAAGTACCCAAGCTGATACAGAGGAGGCCCACGATTCTTCTCCTGTATCACAGTGAACCACAGCAGATTTTAGGATCCATCGCCGAGCTAAAGCTGTGCAGCCACCACTGATAACCGGACTGGGCCTATGGGACTGAACAGATCCAGAGAAAGCAGACTTTCCTGAAGGAAGAGGGCCACCATGCTAAGACTTCCAACTCAAACTGGAAGGAGAATGTTGCCTACATCCACAAAAAGAAGTGGTAAACAAAGACAGGCCATGTTCACTTCCTTCTTGGTAGCATTCCAGGATTGTTTAGTCAAGGAACGCTGGAGGGGTAAAAGTTTTCCCCACATTTCATGTAACAGTTCATAAAAGTGTTTTTTTTAAACCCCAACTTTGTGGAGGGGCTCTGTTACTGCATTTGCCACCATGATTTCCCCAACTTTCTTGCATATCCTACATGCAATGACTTCTTGGGAACAGTTCCTTTACAGCCT